GTAATGTGTGGAAAGGTTTTAACAATTCGCTGTTGTCTTTCTGCGATTTGTTTTTCGTTGATTTTTGTATTTCGTTTTGTACTGTTTTTTACTTTCCTTGCGTTTTTACTTTGTGCATCGCTCACCACGTGCGTTCTGAATTTTGCGCATCATTAAAATTAACTGTCATCGCTACGCGCACTTCCGTGCAAATCTGCAATTTGATGCATGCAATTGTGGAAAACCATTAAAAAAAAAAAAACAGAAGAAATAAGTAAAACATTAAAGAATTGCTGTACATGCAACAATGCGCACTGCGTGTGATCGTCGCTCGTTGTAGAAATTTCAGCTGCAGCAGCGACATTTTTTCGTTTAACTTGTCTATTTGTCTCATGGTATTAAACTGTTTTTTTTTTTATGCACTTTTTCGTTATTAGTTTCTTACGCTGTTGATTTTCAATTGTTCACCAACATGAAACTTTATTCTGCATTGTTGCCGTTTTGTTCGTTTTTTTTTACATTTTTATTCTTGCATTTTTTTAATCTAAATACAAATATTTTTTTTTTTTGTAATGGCATTATTCACTATTTGCTACTTTTGCTTGCATGCATTTATGCTTGCACTTTGCATGCTCACTCGTTTAGTCTTAACATTCTTTGTATCGCTTGCAAGTGTCTCATGTATTGACTTTAGCGCTGAATTCTACTGAGCTTGCGAATTCCCACGTCCTCTGCGCGATCCGCTATGTGACTCCGCCTCGCTTGTTGATGGTGGTCTATGCCAGTGGGCGTCACTGTGTTCGTTTGTTGCAGTTTTTTTTCAGTTTTAAATATCAATGTGGTTGCAAATATTTATAATTTTCTGAATGTGTGAAGTCGTCGGAGTTTCGAAGAAATATAAATAAAATATTATAAATTATGTACAAATCTTGAAATTAAAGCTTGATTACGCAAATCTGTATGTACTTAGTTTTTGCTATTTTCCTTTTGTTTGTTCAAGGTTTATAATTTTATCTAAAAAAAAACTATATTATCCCGGATATCAAACTTTGACCCAAAATTGGGAATAATAGACAAAATTTGACAACAAACTCTTTATTAAGATTTTTTAGAGAAAAACCCAAGTATGCAGTTTTATAGCCCATTAAATTCTAGCCGAACAAAGGCAAATTTCAAATGGCTTAGAATAAGTCAAGGCGCATCCATACAAGGTGGTGGTGATTGCATATAAGTAAAAGTCCCGTGTATTTTGTTATTGCTTTTTAGTACAGGAGGATGTCAAAACGAAATGGAATCGGAGATAATTTTGATAATTTTCTTTTGTTGACATCCTAAAGTTGCGCCGCTTCGTCTTGGATGACAAAAATATCCAATCAGCT